AAAATCAATCATGTAATACTGCACTCATTAGTTTAATAGATACTTGGTTAAAATATGTTGACAGTGGAAATATTATCGGGACTGTATTCTTAGACTTAAAGAAAGCCTTTGATTTGGTTGACCATGAAATACTTTTGCATAAACTTAAACTTTATCATTTTTCTGAAAATGCCGTTAAGTTTTTTTATAGTCATATCTTTCTAACAGAATACAACAGGTTAAGTTAGGTAATCTTCAATCTCAGACAATGAAAATAATTTCTGGTGTACCACAAGTCTCAATATTAGGACCTTCATTATTTCTAATATACATAAATGACATAGCTTTCATTGGTAATGATATAAAAATTGATTTATACGCAGACGATTCTACTCTTTATGAATCCGGAGAAAATATATCAAAAGTAGAAATAAAACTTCAAGATCATTTAAATAACATTGACAAATGGTGCAAAATAAATAATATGGCCTTAAATCCAGATAAATCAAAATGTATGGTAATAGGAACAAGACAAAACGTAAATATTATGAGAAAATTGTATCTTAAGATAAATGAAATAGCTCTTGAAAATGTAACTGATCAAAAGGTCTTGGGTATCTGCAACAACTTAAAATGGCACTTGCAAATTGACAATGTTTGTAAAAAACTTAACGGAAAAATTACCTTATTGAAAAAAATATCGTATTTTTTGCACTTTGATATGAAATTATTGTTTTACAATGCATATATATTGCTCATTATGGACTATTGTTGTATTATATGGGGTAAAGGAAACACAAACTACATAAATAATGTTTGTAAATTACAAAAACGAATTGCTAAAATCATTTTACAGCAACCACAAAGATCTCCGTCAATAAATCTATTCGAAACTCTTAACTGGTTACCGTTCCTTGACAGATGTAAATACCACACGGCGGTGCTTGTTTTTAAAACTTTAAATAACATGGCACCTACTTATATGGCAGAACTGGTGACTTTATCCGACAACAAAATATATAACTTAAGATCTAGGTCACGAAAAGATATTGTATTATGGACAAGACCTATACCAAACTATATTAAAGACACATTTTCTTATTATGGCATGAACATTTGGAACAATATACCTTTAAATATTCGTAATGTTAATAACCTTAAATGTTTTAAAGAAAAATACAAAACATATCTTGATGTTCATATGAATGAATGAGTGAGTGAGTGAGTGAATGAATGAATGAATGAATTAATTAATAAATGAACGAACGAATGAACGAACGAACGAATGATGCAATATACGTATATGTTAAAACATATTGTTGAGTGTCTGTCGAAAGTATATGAGTTGTAATATTCTAAAAATTACATATTATACATTCATTTGTCTACCTATGCATGTCCTGTTGTTGTTGTTGTTGTTGTTGTTTTCTATTTCAGAAGACCACATTGGAAATAAGATATATATGATTGTTATTGTATGTTCTTAATGTGTAACCTTCTTTAAATAAGATAATAATTATTATTATTATTATTTATTATTATAATTGCATTTGCCATGATTCTTAATTGACAAACCCGTTTGGTAGCTTTGAAATGCTACTTCTCAAATGTTTAGAAAAAGATAACATATTAAGCCTTTTTAAAGCTTGTGAAAAAAATGAACTTGTTAAAATTTCATTTAAAAATCATTTTCCTTGAATGTCCAGTATATTTTCATAAAAGAGGAAACATAGCAGACGTAAACATTGGAGAGCTTGAATTCAAAACATCTGATTTGAGGCATATAATATGAGTCGCGTCTCGACAAAACCAACATAGTGCGTTTGCGACCAGCATCTGCGCAGTCTGATCAGGATCCATGCTGTTCGCTATCAGTTTCTCTACTTTTTAAAGGGTTGGTTAGCGAACAGCATGGATCCTGATCAGACTGCGCGGATGAGCAGGCTGGCATGGATCCATGCTGGTCGCAAACCCACTATGTTGTTTTTGTCTTGACGTGGCTCATATATTTTTTATCAAGCAATGAGCAGATCCTTTTATATTTTGTTGTCTGCTTCGTTTGAAAAAATAAGCTGATTGAAAAACGGTTAAAATAATCTTTTCTCGAAAGTCTATGCTATAATGCCCATGACATTGGCATGGTTAAAAACAGAGACTTGATAAATAAATGCTTATTTCAATTCCAGTAGAAAATGGTGGACAACTCATATGATTAAACACCAATAAAAAGTCTATTTAAAAACTATAATAATAGAATATATGATTTAAGCTGAAATCTGAAGCATGTATTAGGCTATAGCTAAAATATGATGTAACGTTATAAAAGTGACATCCCTTTATGCTGTATATATACATATAATAAAATGCATGTGTACTCATGTTAAGTCTAGATTACTACTAACAAGAGGGCCATGATGGCCATAGATCGCTCACCTGACCAATCAAACTCATCCGAACAATTACCTAGACAAGCATTCTGACCAAGTTTCATGACAGGCGAGTTTAAAATGTGACCACTACAGTGTAAACAAGGATTATCCATATTTGAGCAGTGTGACCTAGTTTTTTACCCTGGTGACCCATATTTAAACTTGACCTAAAAATCATCAAAACAAACTTTCAGACCAATTTCCAGGATACTTGGATCAAAACAGTAGCAACTAGAGTGTTAACAAGATTTTCTATTTAAACTCCAGTGACCTAGATTTTCATGCGACTTAGAACTCATCCGAGCAATTACCTAGACAAGCCAAGCATCCTGACAAAGTTTGATGGTAATTGAGTCAAAAATGTGACCACTAGAGTGTTAACAAGGTTTTTCCAAATTTGGGCGGTGTAGCCTAGTTTTTCATCCGAGATGATCCATGTTCAATCTTGACCTAGAAATCATCAAAACATACTTTCAGACCAATTTACAGGATATTTGGATCAAAACAGTTGCCACTATCTAGAGTGTTAACAAGATTTTTCTTTTTTTAGCTCCCGTGACTTAGTTTTTCATCCGAGGTGACCCATGTTCGAACTCATCCGAGCAAGTACCTAGAAAAGCATTCTGACCAAGTTTGATGAAACTTGAGTAAAAAAGGTGACCGCTAGAGTGTTAATAAGGTTTTTCTATTTTCAGCTCCTGTGACCTAGTTTTCATCCGATATGACCTATGTTCGAACTCATTTGAGTTATAATCTAGACCAGCATCCTGACCAATTTTGATGTTGATTGCGGCAAAAATGTGACCACTAGAGTGTTAACAAGGTTTTTCTATTTTTAGCTCCAATGACCTAGTTTTTCATCTAAGACAACCAATGTTCGAACTCATTCAAGCTTTTACCTTGACAAGCATCCTGACCAAGTTTGATGATGATTGAAGCAAAAATGTGACCGCTAGAGTATTAACAAGGTTTTTCTATTTTTAGGTCCGGTGACCTAGTTTTTCGTCCGAGATGACCCATGTTCAAACTCATCAGAGCTACTACCTAGACAAGCATCCTGACCAGTTTGATGATGATTGAGGCAAAAATGTGACCGCTAGAGTGTTAACAAGGTTTTTCCAAATTTCGGCGGTGTAGCCTAGTTTTTCATCCAAGATGACCCATGTTCGAACTTGACCTAGAAATCATCAAAACAAACTTTCAGACCAATTTACAGGTTATTTGGATCGAAACAGTAGCCACTACAGTGTTAACAAGATTTTTCTAATTTTAGCTCCTGTGACCTAGTTTTTTTTCCAAGATGACCCATGTTCGAACTAACCTGAGCAATTACCTAGACAAGTTTCCTGACCAAGTTTGATGACAATTGAGTCAAAAATGTGACCACTAGAGTGTTAACAAGATTTTTCTATTTTTAGCTCCTGTGACCTAGTTTTTCATCCGAGATGACCCATGTTCAAACTCATCCAAGCTATCACCTTGACAAGCATCCTGACCAACTTTGATGATGATTGATGCAAAAATGTGACCTCTAGAGTGTTAACAATGTTTTTCTTTTTTAGCTCCGTTGACCTTGTTTTTCATCCGAGTTGACACATGTTCGAATTCATCTAAGCTATCAACTAGCTAAGCATCCTGACGGAATTTGATGATGATTGAGGCAAAATTGTGACCACTAGAGTGTTAACGAACAAGTGTGGACGGACGACGAACATTCAACGATCCTAAAAGCTCACCATGGACAAGCTCAGGAGAGCTAAAAAAAACGATAAATGATTGCCAATTTCAATCTTTGCATATCCTCAACTGCAACTGTATAGTTGAATGCTAAAATATTACAAAATATTTGCTTTAAAAGGCTCTCTCACCACTTATTAAGTGCATTAAATTAAGTAAATTAAATTTTTCAAATGGTATAATGCTGAGATTTTCTACCCAAGCATGTTTTACTGCAAGTACAATACAAACAAGCTCAGAAATAGAAATACATCATTGTACTGTGACAAAAAATGCGGAGAGTAATCTTGTCTCTCTCGACACAGTTTTATCATTCTTGACTATCAGACAGGATAATCTACTGTTTAAACCGGTGCTAGACAAACCTTGCCTACACCCGCCCCACCCCTCCCATGTCATGTGCTTTAAATGACGTCATTCCTGCTTTTATAAATGAACTGCGTCCCTAGGACGATGTCATTTACAGTTATAAATGAAGTTGTAAATTAATAATTTCTTTCCAAATTATTTCTAATATTTAATATGCAAGAAAAATAATCACTAGCTTCACCAGTCAGGAATATCTAGCTTTTCGGTAACTGTTTAGTGGAAACTCAGCAGAGCCTCATAACCTTCGTAAACAGTAACCATCAATAAATAAGTCATCAGTAATACAACATCTTTTATTTTAATTTACACTGAAAACAATTAACATTCATATTATATCTACTCCTTAATACAATTGCAATAGCCTACGATGACTTGATGACATATTTAGGGCTTTCTGTAAAATGGTTATACATGTACATTTTGTATGTCCTTTGTGTACTTCTTAGGTGTTTTTCGTATATAATAATTATTAGTGTTAAAGCATACCTGAACATGGCAATGAGAAGATTAAGAAGTAACACATTAGCTAGGAGCATGTAAACTCCCATTAATATAGGTACAACTATCTTTCCTGTGTCAGTCGGACATCGAGGATGTGTGCCATCTAACCACAGCGCCGCATCAAATGTACAGTCAGGAGAACCTGTAAAACAAAATAAAACCATGATATAAAATGACAAATTTAAATTCAATTATCTTAAGTTACCTTTCTGTCCCCTTGTGAGCATATAGACAACAAAATCAAAATATATCATAAAATACAATACTGAAAATATTGGTACAGTGTAACTTCTGAAAACTGAACAACTGTGGGACTACCCAATAAGTTTGGTATTTGGAAGTTTCTGGAATTCAGAAGTTCAGAATTATCTGAACAAGAAGAAACATGAGGTTTGAAAAAGCAATTGTTTAAGACACGATGAAAAATATTGAAAGCTTATTCAATTCATATTAGTGCTAAATTATAGAACTTAAAAAGTTATAACTACATTGTATATTAAATTCATTATCACCTATAACTGAATTTGTTGATACAAAGTTATAATTTCATGTTGTACTTAAGCTATTAATCATCTGTATTTTTATTACAATATACATGTACTTCTCTTTTTTTATATTTTTCACACTTTAATCAAGTGTTTGACATGCTTGACAAGTTGTGATTGTAATAGGTGTAAGATAAATGGTTTGTTGCTAATTGGAATATACTGACATTTTAAAGTTTTACAATCTCAATTATAATATTCTTTCATGCCTTTTTCAATTTTCGGATTTTGGAAGTAAATCTTAATTGATATTACCCAAATTTTACCGGAAAATCGTTCGAAATTCAGAATTTAGAAGTTTCGGAGGTTTTATTTACAAAGAAAACAGAAGGAGAAATTCTTGGACCCAGAAAATGTTCGGATTTCAGACTTTTTCCGGATTTTAGAAGTTCCGGAATTCAGAATTTACTCTGTATATAATAATGAAATAGTGAAATGATGGTATATCATGAAATAAAACACTGTTAACTGTGATATATCATCCACCAGACACTTGTAATTACAGTCTTTCAAAACAAATATTACTCTGACCCATTGAACATCAATTCTTGTAACATTACTTCAACAAAACTTCATTTTAAACAGAATTTATTTCAAAATAGCATAGACTGTAACACAAACCAGTCATGTTTAATCTAAAACTACAAGCATCAGTGAGAGGGTGGCCAAGTGATGAAGGTGCCAGCACCAAACCTCTTGTGGCATTGTGGGCTCAAGCCCTGGGGCTGAAAGTGATTAACCTTTGACACAAGTATACAGCCAGGCCAGTCTGCACTACCAGGCAATCCAACCAGGCTCCATACTGATGGATGACAAAATTCTTAACTTATATTTAAAGACACATAAATATAAGTCAATTTAATAATTCCACAGGTAAAATGTTAATTCAGGAGGATAATGTAGTGGCAAAACTGGTTAAAATATGACTTGATATGATAAGTAATTGCATTTTATAGTCTAAGTTTCATGCTTACGCACGTTCACCGACTTTACAGCTATTACCCCTGGTCATCGGGCTACTGGTATCTATCTATCAATCTCCCTGGGAAGTCTTTTAACTCAGCTTAGTGCAACCGACACTTGGCGCAACGGAATTATACCACCCTCGCAGGTACCCATTTACACCTAGGTGAAGTGAAGCAATCGCAGGTAAATTTCTTGCTCAAGGAAATTAGCAGTGCCCCTGTGGTGGTGGGTTATTAAATGTGGGAAAGAGATTGAATCTTAACCTAAAAAAATTTCATAAATTTCAGATACGATTTATATTAAAGTATAAATTAGAGTACCTTCAATTTCCTCGAGGAACAATTCACCATAAATGTTCCAGTAAGATTTCCGTATGACGTCTACAATGGTGTACCATCTTAACGGAGAGTTCGGGAAAAGGATAGAATGTGAGGCGATGGCGTACGACACAACAAACACCATCAATATTACCAGAAAATACATCAAATCTTGAACCTGAAAAAACAAAACCAGTCACTGAATAGTCACTAAACTTCAATGTTAAAACATAATTTGTATTTTCTGCACTTAATTAAAAAAATTTCTAAAACAACTTTTGACTTTTTAAGAAATAATTACTGGTAGTAGATTTGAACTCATCGGGATACGGACAAAAGCCTCCACCGACGAAAGCCCCCCCCCGTATAAAAATGAAAAGGTGGACAAAAGCACCCCACCCCCATAATATTTACACATAGGACAACCCCCCTCCATAAAAAAGTAAAGATAGGACAAAAGCCCCCACCCCATGGTCAATAAAATTTACATGTAGTGTATAGTTGTGTTTTTATGACTGTGTTTAAAAGATATGTATGGACATCACATGTAGGTGACATAGTGCTAAGGATATTAATTTGATCCCTTTTCAAAAGTGATTAAACATTACTTATCTTCTGACCCTTGTTGTGTATATTAAAAGCTATGAATTCAGTATCACATGTATGCACTATTTCATCTGTTATCATATACTTTGTTATCACTTCAATAATTATATACATTATAAATACAATGTAAACATTAAATCAAATTTTTTCATTTTTATTTAAAAGTTTGTGTGAAATTTGATGACTTTGAGCACCTGTGCGTGTGAAGAAAGATGGGGAGAGCTTTTGTCCTACCTGTATTTTCGATGGAGGGGGGGGGGGCTTGTGTCCTGTGTAAATTTCAGCGGGGGGGGGGGGCTTTTGTCCACCTTGTCATTTTTAGACAGGGAGGGGGGGGGGGGGGCTTTTGTCCTACACTCAAACTCATCATGTACAAGTAATATCTGTCAACATCAACAAAACTTCTTGAACTTGTTTCTTTTTTCAAAATTATAAACATCAAAGACATATTAAAATCATATGGCTTAAATATTTTCATTGCAATAATGTGTGCAGGAAACTGAATACACATCTAAATATATACTGTACATACTTAAATAACTTGGCATTTTTGTGTCGCCTCTACGGAGTAGTGGCGACATATAGGGATCACTTCTCCGTCGTCTGTCTGTCTGTCTGTCCGTCCGTCACAAAACTTGTCCGGACTACCCCTCCTAAACTACTGGTGCAATTTCATCCAAACTTTACAGGAATGATCAGTACCAAGTCTAGTTGTGCATATTGTCAGATTTTCCGGTTCAATGACTTTTGTCAGAGTTATGGCCCTTTAATAATTTTTAATTTTAAAGTTTGTCCGGACTACTTCTCTTATACCACTTATGCAATTTCAATGAAACTTTACAGGATTGATCTGTAGCTCAAGTCCTTGCGCATATTGAACAGGTTTTCCGGTTGAATGATTTTTGGCAGAGTTATGGCCCTTTGATAAAAAGGTTTCTTTTTCTGTGTGTTGCCAGATACACAAAAGCTTGTCCGGACTACTCCTCATAAACTACTGATGCAATTTCATCCAAACTTTACAGGAATGATCAGTACCAAGGCTAGTTGTGCATATTGTCAGAATTTTCCGGTTCAATGATTTTTGTTTGAGTTATGGCCCTTTAATAATTTTTATTTTTAAAGTTTGTCCGGACTACTTCTCTTATACCACTAATGCAATTTCAATGAAACTTTACAGGATTGATCTGTACCTCAAGTCCTTGCGCATATTGCACGGCTTTTCCGGTTGAATGATTTTTGGCCCTTTGATAAAAAGGTGTTTTTTTTCTGTGTGTTGCCAGATACGCAAAAGCTTGTCCGGACTACTCCTTATAAACTACTGGTGCAATTTTATCCAAACTTTACAGGAATGATCAGTACCAAGTCTAGTTGTGCACTGTCCGTCTGTCCGTCTGTCACAAAATTTGTCCCAACATGAAATTGGCCATCATGAGGCGACACATGTGATTACTGATCGCTCTTGTTTAAACATTCTTATAAAATTACAGTCATGTGCTTTTTACAATAATACTACATTATCATTCATTTGATAAATTCCAATAATATATCACTTTTAACATAATTAGTATTATATAAATTGTGCAACTTTTTAAAACTTTTTTAAAATAAGAAACAGTCCAATAACATGTAAACAAAAAAAATATAAAAAACTATTTACCATTCGACCAATCATGACAAGCTTTGGTCCTAACTCCTTATGGACAGAGAATATATGCAGCAGACGCAGGAAAAACGAGACAAAATTGAGCGCGAGAAATACTCTGGCTGCCTCAAACGTAGATGAATGCGGCAGAAATCTTAGAACCATTCCAATAATGAACAACACTATCGTTATAATGTCCACAATATTCCATGTATCCGTGATATAACTTTGTAATTTGGCCGCCAGGGAATTAGAAGCAGTTGTTGCAACCTGGAAAAATAATAAACTAATGTAAATCATAAAATATTTACTTATCTTTTTTATCTTATTTTATTTTATTCTACAAATTTTACATGCCTGATCATGTGCATAGATTTAATACCCAGTTTCTAAATATAATCTTTATAAAGACTAATAAAATCATAAAACTTTCTTTTCCATTTGAAAAAATATAAAAAGCAAATATACAATAATTGTTTTTCAATAAATTATGGTGGTATTTCCTGAATGTATTAATTTTACTCATTAATAATGAACAAAAGTTTCATCAATTAACCCAACAAATTGGGTGCCAGGACTTTTTATCATATATATGATGGTCACCCTTCATAAGTACAAACATCTATGTTATATCAGTTTGTAAAATCCATTGGTCATGAAGTCAAAATATAGAGACTACCTCATGAATATAATATAAATGATTGAACATTCTGGAAAAAAAACCCAAAAACTTTTTCTATCTGATTCATTTTGCAATGACAAGTTATCGTCTAATCTATTCAAGATGCAATTTACATAGTTGTGTTATTAAATTATTTATATTGTCTTACAAATCTTACTTTATTCAAAGATGTACACTATATAAAAATAATTATGAATTAATACACTATACTTTTTATTACTTTTGACAGTTGAAATATAATATAAAGATGAAATATAAAATAAAACAATGTAATGTGTTAGATCTACTTCAAATTAATAAGCATATACACAAGTGCACAGAATCTGATATAGAATCTACTCTGAGCAATAAAATTCATTATATCTTCTTTACATAAAAAAAACCTTGCCAATTAATATACCATTGACAGAATAGTTTTATAAAATTATATTGTTAGAAACAGTTACATGACAAAATTTATTTCTTAACACTAGTTACTTGGCAAACCAATGCAATTAAGGTTGTACCAGGCACCAAAGCAAGATGATTTTGACTAATCTTGGGTGTTGAAAAAATTAAAGCAACACCAAGGGTCAAAACTACCTCACCTGCTGGAGCTAAGACATGCATAAACTCCAGTAATTTGTTTGCCTCATTAAGTCGCCGATTACGATGACGCAGGGATAAACGATGGCTGCATTTCTGAGGCTTCAAACTTTAAAGGCAACCCCTCAAACACTTTGAAACAGGTACGTACTATCACAAAGTGCACAATGTTCACTAACTGCCCTGCCCATAGGTATAAATGTAACTAGTAGCAGTTAACTCCAAAACCAATGTCTAGAAATAAATAGTGCTTCAAATTTCTTTTTTAAATGTTTCCAAATTTTGTGGGTGTGGATTATACAGAAAATGTAAATAAATGAGGTTCTTTATTTTTCTGTTTACATTCTCATATCTCATGAAAGATGTTAACAATATAAATAAAAAAATCAACAAAAAACAACAACAAAAAAACAAGCAAAACTATACTTTGCAAAGGGATCAGTAGATATTTTTAGTAAAAGCTACAAATAAATATTATATACATTTTGTAAGACAATACTTTATAGTTACAAACAACAAGAAACACATATAACATTGACATTAGTTACATCATGTTTAGTCCCCCCCCCCAACAAAAAGAAAATATCCATGGCATTATTAATACCCTTAAGATTTTGTTGATAAAACATGAGATCTGTAATATTCAATAAATTAACTAAAACCAGTTTGTATCATTCTTACCCTTTTTTAACATTTCAGATCAATTAAAAACTTAATATGTGTCCATAGGACACGGGTGCCCCCATCGCGCCACTGTTCTGTCAATCTTATGACTCTAGGTCAAATATTTTTTGAAAACTAAAAATCTTTTACTAAAGTATAGGGCAAGAACTTTACAAATACTGAATAAATCCACAAGCAAACCCAAGGTGCATAAGTACACATGCTGACCAAAATTCTTGAAAACTTTCAGGCCTACAAGTTAAATACTTTTTGAGCTATGCATGAACAAGTTGAAAATTGCAAATTTATACTACTGTAAGTCAAGGGCAATAACTCTAACAAAACTGAAAAAAATCCACATGCAAAATCCCGGGTGCATAGCTTCACAGTGATGTGAATCATTATTCCTGTATTTTAGTGATGTTGATCATTATTCCTGTAAAAATGGTTGATTCTAACTCAAGCACTCAAGGAACAAATAACAACATAATGAAACAGTTTTTACTAAGTCAAGGGAAATAACTCTACAAATACTGGATAAGTTCACAGGTGCAAAACTAAATATGCTGAGCAACCTTCCCGTAACGTTTAATGACTCTATGTCAAATCCTTTTTGAGTTACATGCGACACAAGTTGAAAATTGCAAACAATTTCTAAGTCAAGGGCAATAACTCTTAAAATACTAAATAAATCCAGACGATAATACCCAGGTACACAACTACACATGCAGATCAATATTCCTGTAAAGTTAAATGACTCTAGGTCAAATCCTTTTTGAGTTACATGCGACACAAGTTGAAAATTGCAAAATTTTACTAATCAAGGGCAATAACTCTATACATAATAAAAATATCCAGACCAAAATACCCAGGTGCACAACTACACATGCTGATCAACATTCCTGTAAAGTTTTATGACTTTAGGTCAACTACTTTTTGAGTTACATGCGACACAAGTTGAAAATTGCAAAATTTTACTAAGTCAAGGGCAATAACTCCATAAATACTAAAATATCCAGGCGAAAATACCCAGGTGCACAACTACACATGCTGATCAACATTCCTGTAAAGTTTCATGACTGTAGGTCAACTAATTTTTGAGTTTCATGCGACACAAGTTGAAAATTGCAAAATTTTACTAAGTCAAGGGCAATAACCTTAAAAATACTAAAAATATCTAGACGGAAATACCCAGGTGCACAACTACACATGCTGATCAACATTCCTGTAAAGTTTCATGACTCTAGGTTAAATACTTTTTGAGTTACGTGCGACACAAAAGTGAACGGACGGACGGACGGAAGGACGGACAGACGGAAGGACGGACAGACGGACAAGGGTAAATCTAGATGCCCGCCACTTAAGTGGGGCACAAAAACTAAGAACACCTACATTAAATTTTCTGTTCTGGAATCGTCCCCCAATCAACATCCCCCAACCAAAAGAGACACAAGAGCACCGCTAGGCTGAGCATTTTATGCCCGAAAGTGATTTTTTTAGTAAAGATGAAGCATTTGTAAGACATGGGAATTAAATCAAGTATTACCTCCTTCAAATAACAATCCTCCTTTGAAAGTTCAATATTGTGGTCCAAATGGAACTTAAATTATGCCCCGGTGACTGTTTTCAGTTCTAAAGTAATAGTAACCTTGACCTTTGACCTTGTGACCCCAAAATCAATGGGGGTCTTCTACCCAATATGGACAATCAAACTATGAAGTTTAAACAGAGCGGGCCAAATGAAACTTAAGTTATGTTCCGAAAACTGCTTTTAGTTTTAAGGTAATAGTGACCTTGACCTTTGACCTTGTGACCCCAAAATCAATAGGGGTCTTCTACCTAATATGGACAATCATTCTATGAAGTTTGAATATTGTGGTCCAAATGGAACTTAAGTTATGCCCCGGAAACTGTTTCCAGTTCTAAGGTAATAGTAACCTTGACCTTTGACCTTGTGACCAAAAAATCAATAGGGGTCTTTTTCCGAATATGGGCAATCAAACTATGAAGTTTAAACACAGTGGGCCAAATAAAACTTAAGTTATGTTCCAAAAACTGTTTTCAGTTTTAAGGTGGTAGTGACCTTGACCTTTTACCTTGAAACCCCAAAATCAATAGGTGTCTTCTACCCAATATGGACAATCATCCATTGAAGTTTAAACACTGTGGGCCTAATGGAAGTTAAGTTATGCCCAAGAAACTGTTTTTATTTTTAAGGTAATGGTGACCTTGACCTTTGACCTTGTGACCCCAAAACCAATAGGGGTCTTTTACCCAATATGGACAATCATCCATTGAAGTTTAAACACTGTTGGCTAAATAGAACTTAGAATATGCTCCGGAAATTGTTTTCAGTTTTAAGGTAATAGTGACATTGACCTTTGACCTTGTGACCCAAAAATCAATAGGGGTCCTCTACTCAATATGGACAATCATCCTATGAAGTTTGAACACTATGGGCCAAATGGAACTTAAATTATGCTCCGGAAACTGTTTTTAGTTTTAAGGTTATAATGACTTTGACCTTTGATCTTGTGACTTCAAAATCAATAAGGGTCTTCTATCTAATATGGACAATCATCCCATGAAGTTTGAACACTGTGGGCCAAATGGAACTTAACTTATGCTCCGGAAACTGTTTTTAGTTTTAAGGTCATAGTGACCTTGACCTTTGACCCCAAAAACAATAGGGGTCTTCTACCAATATGGACAATCATCCCATGAAGTTTGAATATTGTGGACCAATGCTTTAAAAGGTCACATGGTAACTTTACAACTTTTCTGGTGGAGGCAAACCTCAGGTGTACCTTTAATGCAGAATTTCTGGCATAAGTTAGCCACCTAAGTAGAAACGCAGATATTCTATAAGCTAGACGGAAAGCTTCCTCATAGTCTTGCCCACAGTGAGGGGCAAGTTATTTGAAATCAGTGACCTTAACAACTTAGCTATAGAGGCGATAACAGTATAGAAACAAGGCTAGCCTGCACTACCTTATAGCTGGACAAGGCTTGAGTGGTTGAGTGGACTGTTCCAAAGTCGGAGCACACAAATTCAACAGGTAAACTATGCTTGCCTAATTCTATACAGCTACCTGCTAAAACTTATCAGAATTTTTTTATTTTCTTTTTCCAGATTGAAATCCCTTAAAGCACTCCTAAACTATTATTATGTATTTCTAATTCATAGTTGGGAAAATGTATTACACAAACTTTAATACATACATTAGAAAATACATAAACAAAAACAACATGAAAAGACAACAAAAAAACAATGCAGTGTTATAAGATTTTGCTGAAAGATAGAAATACATGGATAAGGTTACTAATTTATAGTTATTATAAAACGTTTCCCTATAACTATAGCATAAGTAAGATACTAATCAAACAAGAAGAGACTCTCTTTTTCTACTTACATGCAGATGTAGCTATAGTAAGGATACAAGATTATTTCCACAGTGTAAAAAATCGAAAATATAACTATTATATACATTCTTTTTGTACTAAGTACACTATAGATTTCCTAATACCGTTTTAATAACATTATGGTGACAAACCTTTTAGGTTCTTTGTTTCAATAACATTTGATTTGTGGTGTTTGCCGCTCAACACCACTCAATTTCTTTGTTTTGATGACACGCATGGTATTCTCCACTCAAAACCACTAAAGTTATTTGTGTTTTAGTAATACACAAGGTGTTCACCTCTCAAACCACTCAGCAATACTTGTGCTTTTGGCAGTTAAAACCACTAAAGTAATTTTAGTAACACTTATGGTGTGGTGTTTATAATCACTCAAATCCACTCATAATTTCAGTAACACTCATGATGTCCATCTAAACAATGACTTCTGATGACTCAAGTATAAACAAATGGGTAAAGTGCTAAATTATTGTAGCTTCTCCTTCATTTAATTGTATAGTTTTTAAAACACTCAAACCATACCATCATAAAATGCACTACTTTTTGACTGCATGCCATGCTGGATTATTTAACAGTAAAACTTTAGTATAATTTAAACATGTCTTAGAGTTGCCTATAAGACAGAATGCTCAACTATTCTCAGTGCTTACAGTATCAAGGGGCATAACTCTGTAAAAAGGTAATCAAAGAGAGATGGGTGGGGTCTATGCCAATCATATTCGATAATCAGAGAGCGAGGGTGGGAAGTTTCAACTTGATCCTTTCCGTCGTTTTGGAGATATCAAACTTTGCAAGTAAAACTTAACCAAAGTGTGAATGAGGCATCATCACAGACATGAGTACAATAGCCCTTGTTATTCTTTGAATAGTAGAGCTAAATAAAAATTCACCCCAAACAATTTGCATTCTCAAAATTATAAAAAGTATCAAAACAGTATCTGAGTGACCTTTTTCAAGCATAATCTGAATATATTATTTCTTTACTCCAGCTGAATATATTACATGCATTTCTTTTCAATCTGAATATATAATGATCATCACATCAAACAAGAGAAGGAAATATATAACATACCTGTCGTACTTCCTCTGAGAAAATTGTAACCACCCAAATCATGAGAATGATCTCAGCAGTCGTTACATTCGGGTTGAAATCAAATATGAGCACATACGTGAACAGTCCTAGGAACACAAGGTATGACAACTGAAAAATATAGATACGTAAACCTGGTATAAAATTTGTAAAAATGTATCCCATGTGGTGTTAACTTCATTTGGTATAAATTCTATGTTGAAAAGGGAAATAACTCAAATAAACTGATATCAGAATTTTGTCCCTTGTGTTACAAGTGCACACTATCATGATAAGCAAGAATTCCAAGTTTCATGTTGATGACACAGAAGCAATCATGATGGCTTGATTTTTTCTTCAAAACAGACAAACTAAATTGAAGAGAGGTTTCACATTTATTTAAAAATCTTCTATTAAAAAAAAGATATTATTATAAGCATATTTATTTGAGCTAAGCTGTCACCGCTATTTTTAGTTCATTTCTTAAATTCAAAGGAATACGGGATATATTTTTTTATAACTGCAAATATTAAACTCTCTTTTTCGAGGATCAATTTCCTTATAACATTCATACTCTATCAGTCCCACTGCATTTTCTAAACTGACTGCGGCCCGAAATGATTGATTATTGCAATACCCTGCATTGTTGTTTACTGACCCCCAGATTTGGCTACATTATTTCTGGGGTTTACATGTTGGATAACAGGGAAAGTGTTGTGTTTCATGCTGCGACACAATTAAGACAAAGAACACCAAAACAACCCGTACGAAAATTCCAGCCGTAAAATAGCAGGAAAAGACACAGAAATTGGACGTAAAATCACTTTCCCAGGCGTAAAACACACGTAATTTTTTAAGAGCAGGAAATACATGAAAAGTATGGCCGTAATTTTCTATTTTTTTACGGCTGTACTTTTCTTTACGGACGTAAAATTTGACTTTAATTTGACTGTAAAAGTGTACTCTAAGGTTCTTTAGTTGGAATCTAGACATTAAAAAGTTGAAATATTATTCTATGCCCAGAAAATGCACAGACGCTTGGGGTTTGGAGCTCAAAACGCCTTTAAAATCCAAATAAAATTCTTATTTGTCAATCCCAGGACATGTACTGATCATATATATAAAAAAATCTTAATATATGCCGTTTTGAAAAAAAATCATATTTCAACATCTATAATAATATTATTATAGATGTTGAAATATGATTTTTTTTCAAAACGGCATATATTAAGATTTTTTGATATATATGATCAGTACATGTCCTGGGATTGACAAATATGCATTTTATTTGGATTTTAAAGGCGTTTTGAGCTCCAAACCCCAAGCGTCTGTGAGAAAATGCATTCATCTGGATATAGTTTGTTGCTACTCCTATGAAAATTTAACGTCAGTCTTCAATAAGTTTGACCTTGGTCTCTTCTTCTAAATGGGATTTGTCCATTTAATATTTATATAAACTGATACCAGTATTTACACCTTTTATGTTATGCTAACAATAATTAAAAGTTAAAATGTGCAAAGAGCAGTAGCTCCAAAATTATGCAAAATAGTTAATATATGATTCTTAAACAGTCTGAACTTAACACAAAAAGATCTATCCATCTGTGAAGTTTCAAATTAATATTTCCAATACTTTTAAAGTTGTATGATTAAGACAAAAAATAAGCAAGGAAAAGTACAAAAGGGAAATAACCCCCAAATCATACAATAAAGAGTTATGGTTCTTAGGCATTGCACTTCTCATAAATGAGATCTACTTATATGAGGAGATTTAGAATTATTGTCTCTAACATTTTTGTGAACAACTTACAAAAGGCAATAAACTCCATTACTTTGCAGGAGAGTTATGTATAATTAAGAAAAAAAACATGAATCAAACTTGTTATCAATATCAAATATTTAAATGCTACTAGTATTTGATAGAAATACAATAATGAAGCAATGTGCTTATACATTATACCCCACTGTGAAACTAAGTCATAGTATGCCCTTGAGGCTTTAAATCTATTGTACAAATAATGCCTGGTAATTTCTTATAACCAAGAAAAGTAAATACTGCACCCCACTAAGATTTAACAACACAGATCTGATAAAACTACTTCCCTCTTATCTACATACATATCTGCATGGCGGTTAATACTCACTCTGTTTACTCATGCTGACCAGACTGTTCTATTTGGTTATTTTGGGAGAGGCTACAATATACATTTTATGTGTAGAATCTGTGTTAAAATAACATGCTAAATTATCTTTCAAAAACATAATTATTCACTATTTATTTAGGTATTAAACATAGTTTATACATATAAATGAATGTAAAAAATAAAATGATGGGTGATTTAGTTTTTGGATATCCCTCAGAGTTTAAAATTATAATGGAACCTTTCAGTAATACAGTAACAGTTTGAATTCAAAGGAATTGAGGTCAGTGCAAATACAAAGGAAACATTGATATTGTAGAAATTCTGTAGATATTATTGTGTTTTAAATGTAAGGATGCATATTTCTAATTTATCAAAGAAAACATTTAAAGTCTTACTAGAGTGGTAAATAGAAATGAGAAGAATTTTAACCGAAGTGTGAATGTGTAGATTATAACATTGGACAAGAAGATAAACAGCAGAATCATTCAAAGTCAAAACTTCAGGTAAACAACTTTTACATACATTAAATTTAATGCAGAAACAGATTAGCTTTTTTAAATCAAAACTTTCAAGTGGTATTGTACAGAAATTAGTTTTGTTTTTCTTTCAACTTGACTAAAACAGAAATCTGCATGTACATATAAAAATGTAGGAACATCTTCATCATTTCTTAAATACAGTATGTTAGATATTTTAAGTTTAAGAAAAAAATGATAGAAATTGATAAGTAAGACACTGGTCAACACCATATTATGTATAATATTATATCAATTTAGATTATGAGATTACATTGCAGGCTTGGACCATGCAGTACAGACTGTGAGATGCTGTCTGAATGTTTATGTGTGCAACATTTAACTAGCGTAAAGCCCAGAAAGGTAACTATGTTTTAAATCTCTAAACAATACCATTTACAATATAATTAAATATCATAAAATAAAAATATTTGAAATGAAATTCTTGTCAAATTAAGTTATTGTTAAGACTATCAATAAACATCACTGTTGACTCAGTTTGGACATTATAATTATTGTACAGTGAAATAAGATAATGAGTTGAAGCTTTTATATTTTTGAATATGCAGCATTAGCATGAAAATTGTATATTATCTTTTGAGATATTATGAAATGCAATATTGTTGTATTAAATATCTAATACTGATCTCATTGTAATTCCATCTTTAATAAATTAACTAATATTATACATGTATAATCAATGTATAATTTTGTCCTTAAAGGTGAACTGAACACAACCCTGTGAAATTCCTGGTGTTCGAAACCAAAGCAAAGTGCTGGAACAGATGGACATGGTAAATAGAAATTGTAGTTTAAATAATCAGATTTTTTTTTATTTCATATCGGCAGTTTAACTTATAAGCTTGACTTTTTGAAGAATAAGGAAAGCTATCCTAGGCCCCCCCTCCCCGAGGGTCGGTGATGGCTTAACCACTTATGTTAAAGTTAATAATGCTCCTTTTTCGACTTAGAATTTATGTTAAAGTTAAAGAACCACCACAAATATTTTCCAATTCCATAGACATTTGGCTGTGAAGCTTTGCACACTTGTTCACCATCATGTTTTCAATCTGTACACAGAAGAAAGTGACTGTATCAAGCATTTTGACAGATTTATGCCCCTTTTGACATTTAAAATCTATGTCCAAGTTTGCGTACAACCTCAAGTATTTTCAAAGTCCATTGACACATGGCTTTGAAACTTTGCATACCATACTTGTTCACCATATGTCCTCAACCTGTACACAGGAGGATGTCATTGATCAAGCATTTTGACAGAATAATGCCCCTTTTCGACATAGATTTTATGTTAAGTGTGCGTAGCATCACAGATATTTTCAAATTCCATTGACATTTGGCTTTGAGACTGTGCTCACTTGTTCACCCTTACTATTATCATGGTGGGGGCATTATAAAATGCATGTCAGAAAATAGGCAAAATGTCAAGATTCTTATACTTAAAACTTTACACCTTCAATGATAAGAGGAAAGTTGTTGTAATATTAAAATAGGAAATGCATATTATACAATACTTGATATGGCTGATATTTTACAGATATTGTTGGAACAACATTACAAATGGTGCATTGAGACACAAGATTCTTAAAAGGTCACAAAAAGGAGAGGCTACAACTGCAACTAGATTGAACAGCAAGTGAAAAAATCAACTCATTCCATGAACTTAGTAAAACAAATGACAATCTTTTTAACAAACAGTTGAGTTTAATTTGTAGAGTTGAAACAAAATTGATTTCATAAACCTAAAAAACAAGCAATTCTTTGGTTATATATCTATGTTAGGGACAGGTTTTGTGTTTGTGATCATTTGTTGTTTGTTACTGGTTTATTTTCTCATATGTTCCAGGTTTCAGAAAAAAATAGATTCTATGAAACATGTGACAATTAAACAAGGATGACAAGCTTGTTCTTCAGATGCAAAGAAATCAAAGCATACTTTTAGGACAGACGTAAAAATTAGTATAGACGTAAAATTTGAATTTTGTACGCCCGTAAAAGGAATTTACGGGCGTAAATTTAATATAGACGTAAAATCTGGATTTTATACGGCCGTAAAGGGAATTTTTACAGGCGTAATTTTTATTTTTGAATTCCTGCTCATTTAAATATTACGTGTCATTTGTACGCCCGGAATCCGTGCCATTTACGGCTAGTTTACATGCGTTAAACCGTATTACAGGCGTAATTTATTCTATAATATTAGAAAAAGCATAAGGTGTATTTTCTTTTGTACGGGCGTAAAATAAAAAAAAAATCCGTCTATTTTACAGCTGGAAAATTTCATACAGGGAATTGGCTAACGTTGCATTCTGATGCTTTTTACTTACTTACCACATTATATTGAGAGAAATGATACAAGTGGAAAGGATAAGTTTTAAGGTTTATTTAATGATGATAACCGATGTTACGACCCTCACAAGTCTTCATCAGAGTTACTTACCACATTGTTCATAAAGATGATTACAGGGGCATTAAAGAAGTAGTAGATTCTTTCTCGAACACCCAACATCTTTTTCTGTTCTTGCTCGTCATTCTTGGTTTGGTCCTTACCTTCCTCGCCTACTCGTCTTTATGAAAATATGAGAATTTTGACACAATACATACATGAATAATAAATCAAGAATATCTTAGATGTTTGTCAGACTAACCCTGTTAAAGGACTCCACTGAAATTTCTTGACGTACAGGATTCGAAATATTTTCTTTAACATCTATCGCCTAATAATTTGTTTGCCAACTTTCTTTCCCTTGCTTCGTTTGTCATGAAGAAGGACTTTTAATATGCAAAATGAAACAAAACTGAAGTGTTTAAAAGCTTTTAACTCATATTGGACTAAAACCACACCATAAATTGATTTTCAATTTAATTTTGAATATATTTCTTAGTTATTATTTGCATGTTTTTTTTTCTCTTAATTTCAAGTGCCAAAGTTGATATAAAAGTTGATTATAGTACGAATTTATTTTTTAGTTTTTCAGCATTTGGACCTCAATGGAGCTCTCTCAAGTGCATATGTCAAATTCCAGCTTAAATGGCAGAGAAAGACCTCAGGTGCCCCTTCATTCATAATTTCAGGCAAAAGCAGTCTGCAGAGTACAACCACCAATAATAATAAGCTGGATAGCTTCTTTTCAAACATGATTCATAACCACAAACGTAATGTGCAATTTATTTGAAATCAGCAATTTATTTGAAATCAGCAATCCTAACCATTTAGTCACACCCTAAACACCTAAGTAAGCAAGAACACTTTCTTATCATAACTTAATGCATATATAAGTATTTAAAATATCTAGCAGTATGCACACTTATAATGTATGTACACTTGGTACATAAAAAGATTGATTGACCCTCATTAAATGCATATGAATAAATCGAAACCCTATAAATTTTGTATTTTTTGGTTGGGTTTAACACCACAGCAACACAGTAGGTCATATGATAACTTTCCATTGTTGTTCTTTAAGCTAGCTTGATAGTTTCCTCACATGAAAGAATTCGAAGTCCCTGGCAAGATTCGAACCCACAGCGGTGAGGGGCAAATGTTTTGAAGTCAACAGGAAACTTATAAATGTTCATAAAGTATGTACATCATTTGTAGAGAAATAATACTTACAGTGAGTTTCTTCTTCTGTTCAATTTGCTTTTCTGTCGTCTCAAAGGTTTTTTATCATCCTGATCCTGAAGTGAAAATGAAAAAAAAAAACCAAAAACAATGAAACAAACAGAGTTTTTTTATATTATTTTTTTTTAATAAAAGTTTTGCAGTAATTATATATGATTTGTACTGAGAGACGTAATATATTGCCTGTTGATAAGTGTTTATAACAATTAAGAAATAGGACTAATAAACCTACTATCCAATTGACTAATAGGACTAATAAACCTACTATCCTACTATCCAATTACCCTGCTGGGACCAATTTGAAAAGTGATAAGTCTTTGCAGCCAGTACAGAGCCAGGCCAACCTGCACATGCCTTTAGCCTGACCAAGCTCTATACTGTTGGCGTTTTAATTTTTGTACTTTAAAATAGAAATGCTTTAATGTTTTGATGGACTGTTCCAAATTAAAAGATCGGTGAATCCAGGGGCTATACATCTTGTTAAACTAACTTACATCAAGGGCAATTAATAAGACATAGAAAAATTAAACAAGGTGAACTGTGTTGCATCACACCTCCATACACATTTATTTAAAGTGTTATAGCTTTCTGTCATTTACATAAAGAAAAGTTTTGACTTTATTTAAATCAGGGGCAATAACTCTTCTTCAATAAGCTTACATCAAGGACAATAACTTTGGCGTTATTGTTCTAAAACTAAAGTAAAGAACAATTGCATCCCCAAGAAAGTTATATGTAAGGTTCAGAATTGTTGTTGTTTGTACTAAAGAAGTAGTTTAAAGAATGTGGCATTATTGCCTAAATCTCGACAAATATACATAACAAATATTAGAAAGACAAGCAGTAACAAATCTTGAATGTTTACCTTTTTATCGTTATCCAACTTATAAAGTTGATTTTGTAATTGGTTGTTAGGTTTTTCAACCTGCTTCTTTTGAAAGTTTAGCAGAAGCAATGCTAAAGGTGGACATAGTACACATAACATCAGCTGAAATATATCATTATATGTGACCATGTGATATGTTACCATGTGGTGGTGGTAGTTTATCCTCCTGCTGATCACAGCAGTAAGCCACATTGCCACTAGAGCATAGTTCAGCCACTGCATTGTTTCTGGGCAGGCTGTCAAGCAATTAATCAGTACTAGTTGCCTTCACTTCCACAAGGAACTGAAACTTCTGTACATGTCAGAGCAGAGGTACAGTGTCAATGACCGTAGAAAGGATTTCATGATCAATCACAACAAAAGTGACATGCACCGTCCGAGAATTGAACCCGGGCAGCCTGCCTCACAGGCAACGCTGTATCTATTGAGAAAAGTCAACGGCTATTATAACCATGTGGCAAACAGTAGGATCTCTATATAACATGATTAACATCACATCAAATCATGTTGTATGATCAACACTGTCAAACCAAAACTATATCTACCATGTGCATGAAAATAATGACATCAATATCGCACAACTCAACATATGGTAGAAACAACAGTTAAACTATGTTTGTATAAATATTTAGGGAATTTATATACAATATATATACATGGTTGCATTATGTGCTAAACATTCAGCTTTAAATAACACACTACATTTAAGCATGTGCTATATAATAGCAGTTAGTGTATCAAACTACAGCAACATTACATTAGGTACATCGTATACTGGTACAATCATGGGTGATAAACAATTTCACTTGTACACAATATACATATACAGTAACTCCATCATAACAAGATATGTTTGTAAAACATGTATGCCCCCTATCAGCAGCCAATTATTCATGTGATAAGGTAATTATGCATGACTTCTGACCCAGTGATCAAACAATTAATAAGGGTTATCAAGTATCTACTGGTCATGACCTTGACCTTTGACCCCTTGACCCAAAACTCAATAGGGGTCATCTGCTGGTCAAGACAAATCATCATACAAAGTTTGAAGTTCCTAGGCCTAAGCGTTTTTACTTAATTGATCAGAAACCGTTTTTACTTACAAGGTCAATGTGACCTTGACCTTTAACACCCTTGACCCCAAAATCAATAGGGGTCATTTGCTGGTCATGACTAATCACCATGCCAAGTTTGAAGTTCCTAGGCCTAAGGGTTCTTTTATTATTGATCCGAAACCATTTTAACATACAAGGTCAATGTGACCTTGACCTTTGACCCCAAAATCAATAGGGGTCATCTGCTGATCATGACCAATCACTATGCCAAGTTTGAAGTTCCTAGGCCGAAGTGTTCTTTAGTTATTGATCAGAAACCGTTTTTACTTACAAGGTCAATGTGACCTTGACCTTTGACCCCTTGATCCCAAAATCGAAAGGGGTAATCTGCTGGTCATGAAAAATCACCATACCAAGTTTGAAGTTCCTAGGCCTAAGCGTTCTTAAGTTATTGATCAGAAACCGTTTTTACTTACAAGGTCGATGTGACCTTGACCTTTGACCCCTTGACCCAAAACTCAATAGGGGTCATCTGCTGGTCACCACCAATCATCATACAAAGTTTGAAGTTCCTAGGCCTAAGCGTTTTTAGTTAATTGATCGGAAACCGTTTTTACCTACAAGGTCAATGTTACATGACCTTTGACCCCTTGACCCTAAAAACAATAGGTCATCTGCTGGTCATGACCAATCACCATACCAAGTTTGAAGTTCCTAGGCCTAAGGGTTCTTAAGTTATTGATCGGAAAGCATTTTTACCTACAAGGTCAATGTGACCTTGCCCTTTGACCCCTTAACCCCAAAATCAGTAGGGGTCATCTGCTGGTCATGACCAATCACCATACCAAGTTTGAAGTTCCTAGGCCTAAGGGTTCTTTAGTTATTGATCGGAAACTGCTTTTACCTAAGAGGTCAATGTGACCTTGACCTTTGACCCCTTGACCCCAAAATCAATAGGGGTCATCTACTGATCATGACCAATCACCATACCAAGTTTGAAGTTCCTAGGCCTAAGGGTTCTTTAGTTATTGATCGGAAACTGTTTTTACCTAAGAGGTCAATGTGACCTTGACCTTTGACCCCTTGACCCCAAAATCAATAGGGGTCATCTACTGATCATGACCAATCACCATATCAAGTTTGTAGTCCCTAGGCCTAAGGGTTCTTTCGTTATTGATCGGAAACCGTTTTTACCTACAAGGTCAATGTGACCTTGACCTTTGACCCCTTAACTCCAAAATCAATAGGGGTCATCTACTGATCATGACCAATCACCATATCAAGTTTGAAGTCCCTAGGCCTAAGGGTTCTTTCGTTATTGATCGGAAACCGTTTTTACCTACAAGGTCAATGTGACCTTGACCTTTGACCACTTAACCCCAAAATCAATAGGGGTCATCTGCTGGTCATAACGAATCACCATACCAAGTTTGAAGTTCCTAGGCCTAAGGGTTCTTTTGTTATTGATCGGAAACCGTTTTTACCCAAGAGGTCAATGTGACCTTGACCTTTGACCCCTTGACCCCAAAATCGTTAGGGGTCATCTACTGATCATGACCAATCACCATACCAAGTTTGAAGTTCCTAGGCCTTAAGGTTCTTTACTTATTGATCGGAAACCGTTTTTGCTTACAAGGTCAATGTGACCTTGACCTTTGACCCCTTGACCCCAAAATCAATAGGGGTCATCTACTGATCATGACAAATCACCATACCAAGTTTGAAGTTCCTAGGCCTTAAGGTTCTTTAGTTATTGATCGGAAACCGTTTTTGCTTACAAGGTCAATGTGACCTTGACCTTTGACCCCTTGACCCCAAAATCAATAGGGGTCATCTACTTGTCATGGCCAATCACCATACCAAGTTTGAAGTTCCTAGGCCTAAGGGTTCTTTAGTTATCACTCGGAAACCATTTGGTCTACGGACCGACGGACCGACAAGTGCAAAGCAATATACCCCCTTTTTTTCAAAAGGGGGCATAATTATGCAAAAAGCAATTTTTATGCAAGAAGTAATGTTTTAACATTTCATTTTGCCCATATATAAAATTTAGACAGGAAGACATTTTTGGGAGCTTATGGCCATGTTTTCATACAACTACAAGAGACAAATACAATTTATGAAGGAAGAAATGCTATTAAACACATTTGATGAAGGAACAAAAGTAATGCTGTAAAACATTTTACACAACTCTGAATAAACTGAATAAAAAAAACATAAATAAAGGAACTAGATATTTTACCAACAAAAATGCTGTAATAATTACACATACCTTCCATGATGAATTATCTTGCGCTAGCTTTCCCATCCATATGCTGTTCAGTAACGACTGACATGCTGTCTGTGAGATGAAGACCTTGTTTTCAGCTTTAACGGCTATCAGCATACATGTTGTATCACCCCAGTTAGTCTGCTCCCGTACCAACAAATCCTGCGCTTTCTTCTCATCTGTTGAGTAACATTCACTCAATACACCTACTGCTAACTCAGACCATTCACTGAAAAATAAAAAAGAATTACCATCATTTCAACTCCTTATTTATCATTTTTGACGTTATAATTCATCTATCAAAATTTTCACAATGTTATACTACATGACTTTTGTAAAATATATATATTTGTACTTTCTTGCATTATGATACCATTTCCTGAGAAATATTATGGCCTTTTTATACATACATTCCCTATGGAATAACATGGGAAAATATATATTAAGTTTCTTAAAGAATGAAAAAAAATTCTGGTCTAAGAATAAAACTTTGTTAGTAAATTCAACAGAACTTTATTGGTTTAGATAACTTTACATGTATTTGGTCATAAAAAATAATGAACCTTTATCAGTGTATATTTTTATAACCCAAAATGTATGTCATCTCTTTATTACAAAGTTAATCTCTAATATTTCCCAGCTGAAATCTGATAATATGACAAGGCCATTACATAAAAGTGGGGAATTCTCTTGATACTATAATAGGAAACTAAAAATTAAAGCTTTTTGAGAAATAAAAGTTCAAGCATTTCTGGGCCATTATGACCCTTTAGTAATACAAAATAAAATTGGTAGAAAATGGGTCAAAGACAGAAAAGGCCGGGTTGACCTGAAATTGAATCCCACGGTATGGGACCACTAGTTAATGTTGTATTCAAATATCAAGAGACTGTGATAAGTAGTTGCTGAGAAAACTGTTACAAAATTTTTCCGTGCCACCCGCCGGCTGCCAACAGCCCGCTCACCGCCCATCATTCACCATACTATAACCCGGGTTTGCACATTTGCAAGCTGGCCAAAAAAGGAACAGTTTGATATCTTACTCAATATCATGCTGGATTTTGAGTACCACTTCTGTGTCATCTGTTTTACTTCTCATAGCTTTAAGTATGCTGTTAGCTACTAATGCTGCAGCTATAGCATCCTGTAACATTTAAACAAGGGCTGATTAACTCAAAATGCATACATGTACAATAATTAAAATTTGAGCCGCGCCAAGACAAAACCAAGGTAATGCGTTTGCGACCAGCATGGATCCAGACCAGCCTGCGCATCTGATCAGGATCCATGCTGTCCGCTTAGAAACCCTATTACAAGTAGAGAAACTTATAGCGAACAGCATGGATCCTATTCAGACTGCGCGGATGCGCAGGCTGGTCGGGATCCTTGCTGGTCGCTAAGGATAAAGTTGGTTTTGTAATGACATGGCTCATTTTATGAACATTGACTCATGTTTTCTAAAGCAATTCAGTAAGCATGTATACAAATTGTATTTTTTTAAACCCTTATTGTGCTGATTTTTTCAATGGATTTGTCCAGCTTCCATTTTTGGAACTGTACATTATTGATTTAAGGGATATCAAGTTAGAAATTTAGTCAGCTGTTAGTAAAAAGCCTGGTCAGATTGACTGAACTCGCAGTGTTGCTTGGATTTAATATATATTTGATATGATAATAAAATTATGTTAATATACAGATTTGGCTGTTTAGGGTTAACACTAATTTTACTAATCAATTAATTCTTTTTTAAAGAAGTGTGACCACTTACCTTGCCTTCCGCCCAGAACAGTTTAGCCATACCTTGTCTGATCATCAGTACAGACCATATAAACAATTCCTGAGATGGATTCTCAAAGTCAGAATGTGACTTGTGTTTCTGATTTGCTCTACCATCAACTATTTTAAAAGAATTATTCAAATATCAAAACCCTTTCAGATTAACACAATTTGAATCATGTAAAATAAGCATGACTTTACAATAACAGGCAAGTATTTGCTGAAGAGAAATAAGCACTTGGCTACCAAAATGATTTTTTTCAAAATAGATTTTTCTTTTAAGACAACAAGACAATGATCAGTGAAAATTTTTCATAAGTCACTTTCAATCAAAGTTTTACTCAGAGTTTGTACAAGCAAACATTCTAAATTAACTTTTTTTCAAAATAAAAATTCAATAAAAGATAAAAATTTCTGTTTTTGAAATAATAAAGGAATGTTATAAAGGTATGTATAGACACCATCGTCTTGGTTACTTGCAGGGTTCATTGCAAGTTCCGCCATTGCCTTTATTGGAGAGATCATTCCTTCTTTAGCCTTCTTTGTTGTTAAACCATCAAGTAACAGGTCAACATCTAGATACGCATATTCTGGTTTAGTCGTGTATATAGGACGGAATGAATCACCCATCAAACTTTGAATCAGAATACCTACATCTAGTAACGAGAAATTCTTCCGATGCTGTAAAAAAGAAAATTGAGACATTTCAGTCTATGTTAACCTGTTGCAAGCTGGGGCAATTGCCGTCTGCTAAAACTATTGTCTGCTGCTTTATGTTAAAGTTTTATTGGATACTATTTACAGTATAACTTGTCTATACAGACATCGAGTCTCATTTGGACTGGTTCGTTATACCGGACAGCGTCTTTTTTAAAAAAAATTCTGACATGTGTTTTTGTGTTGGTGCCCAATTTATTTCAGACTCAATAACTAAATCCATTTTTCCTTCAAATTTAACAACTTCCTTATCCTTTCAGTCGAAAACTAGAACTGCCACTATCATGGCTTGAATACCCCCGCATACCACTTTGTCAGAATCAACAGTGGCCATTTAGAGCTCAAGGACAACCTCCCTGCCAAATCTGAGGTTACTAAGCCAGTGCATTGCTAAGTTATGTGTTCTACATGCTTCAAATGTGAAAATGTCAAAATCAATACATTGCGGACAGGACATTCTTTAGCAATTGAGAAGAAAAGCTTTTTTTGGTCAAGGTCCCTGTGACCTTGACCTTTGACCCAGTGATCTCAAAATCAATAGGGGTCACCTTATAGTCATGGTCAACATCCATGCCAAATATGAAGACTGTGGGTCAAAGGAATCTTAAGTTAATGGGTGGACAAACTTTTTGAAGTCAAAGTCCCTATGACCTTGACCTTTGACCTGGTGACCTCAAAATCAATAGGGGTCATCTACTAATCATGACTAACTTCAATTCCAAATATGAAGACTGTGGGTCAAAGTTATCTTAAGTTATTGGGCGGACAAGCTTTTTGAAGTCAAGGCCCCTGTGACCTTGACCTTTGACCTGGTGACCTCAAAAACAATAGGGGTCATCTACTAATCATGACTAACCTCCATGCCAAATATGAAGACTGTGGGTCAAAGGAATCTTAAGTTATAGGGCGGACAAGCTTTTTGAAGTCAAGGCCCCTGTGACCTTGACCTTGACCTGGTGACCTCAAAATCAATAGGGGTTATCTACTAATCATGACTAACATCCATGCCAAATATGAAGACTTTAGGGCAAAGGAATCTTAAGTTATTAGGCGGACAAGCTTTTTGAAGTCAAGGCCCCTGTGAACTTGACCTTTGACCTAGTGACCTCAAAATCAATAGGGGTCATCTACTAATCATGACTAACTTCAATTCCAAATATGAAGACTGTGGGTCAAAGGAATCTTAAGTTATTGGGCGGACAAGCTTTTTGAAGTCAAGGCCCCTGTGACCTTGACCTTTGACCTGGTGACCTCAAAAACAATAGGGGTCATCTACTAATCATGACTAACCTCCATGCCAAATATGAAGACTGTGGGTCAAAGGAATCTTAAGTTATAGGGCGGACAAGCTTTATGAAGTCAAGGCCCCTGTGACCTTGACCTTTGACCTGGTGACCTCAAAATCAATAGGGGTTATCTACTAATCATGACTAACAGCCATGCCAAATATGAAGACTGTAGGGCAAAGGAATCTTAAGTTATTAGGCGGACAAGCTTTTTGAAGTCAAGGCCCCTGTGACCTTGACCTTTGACCTAGTGACCTCAAAATCAATAGGGGTCATCTACTAATCATGACTAACCTCCATGCCAAATATGAAGACTAAGGGTCAAAGGAATCTTAAGTTATTGGGCGGACAAGAAAAAACCGACGGACGGACGGCCGGACGGACGGACAAGCTGATTCCAGTATACCCCCCTTACAACTTTGTTGTGCGGGGGTATAAATATGTGCAGACATCTGTGTAGTCTGATCAGGCAGACTGATATATATATAGCAGACTGACCAAATTGATATCCCTAAAGTTGTAATGGACAGTTCCAAAAATGGAAGGTGGAAAAGTCCATTAAAAAATAAGCAGGTTAAAGGGTCAAAACATAGCAGCATAGTGATAAGAGTAAGGTCATACTGCAAAAGATGGAAGGGCTGGCAATTAATCTTTAGCCTGCTGGCAGCAATTGATTATATACATGCAACCAGTGCAGACAAAGATTACCTGGCACATCTGAGTGATCTGATTATGGTCTGCACTGTTTGCTAATAAGTCAGTACATTTATTTTCCTTTAACCCATTACACGATATATACGCCTTTTAACGCCTTTTTCACCAACCCCCCTTTTTTGGTGTCTCAAATGGTAAAAAAATGCCTTATCTAGGCCTGCAGCACTTGTTTTTGTTTGAGAAATGTTGTTTAAAAAGTTACCACTTTTTCGGCGCGACCCCCCAACCAAAAGATACATCAAGGGGTTGCAAGAAGGGGGATGTGCCCCCTTCTGTTTGGGGGTTTTGAAGGGGGCAGAGTTCCCCAAATCACCAGGAACATTTTGGACTTGTAAGAGGCTAAAAATGACCCCATATTGATCATAAGGTAACGTGTAACCAACGCTGAAAAGCATTGGACTCTATCTCAATCCATTGAGAAGTTGCAGCACTTTGAAATCAATTTTGATGGAAAAAATCAACGCAAAATAGTGAGTTTTGGCAATTTTGAGATATCCCCCCATTGCCATGGTAACAGGAAATTTGAGTCTGAGTATGTTGTGCAAAGGCAATGGTCCAGTTAACACTTGTGCCAAGTTTGATTAGTATTGAAGCATTTTTCATAGTTTTATAGCAATTTGAACTTGTAACGGGAGACTTTTAAATGAAAACAGCCTATTTTCACAAAATGGTCATGAAGTAATTGGTTAAACATAATGAATAGTTTTGTTTAGATTGGAAGACTGGTAAAGGGTTATCTATGCTAGTGAACCATACATGTATAAATCTTATGTTAGCAAATAGGGTTAAAAGAAAGAGTAAACATCTAAATTCTAGTAACTTACACTGTCCTCCTTGTGTTTGACTCTGTCCAGCAAAGTCATCAGTAAACAATTTGAAGGTATCTATAATTTAAACAGAATATATGTTTTTTTAAAAACATGTTAATGCTTAAACATAATAAAATATAGCTGGAAAACAATTGTATCCAGACAGGTCAAATAACATGCAATAACATGAATTATACCTTTATTTTGTTGAATTTCAAGTCACAAGAACACTGAAATAAACCTCCGAAAACAACAATTTAAAAGCTTTAATGATGGTGGAAGATCTAGGCATTCCTGGGCACCATTTCAAATACAGGCTAGCACAGAGAAGAACGATCAACCTTTATTATGATACATGTAGCTATGTAGCTTATTTTACAAGTAACAGAGAAAAATAAGAATCCTTCGAGAAAGCCCAACCCTGCAAATTTGAAAATTTGAGCCTTTTCATTCACGGTACTGGTAGTTCAGTGGTAGGACGCGCGCTTAGGGAACGAGAGGTCCTGAGTTCTAACCCCGCCAGGGGCACTGCTAATTTCCTTGAGCAAGAAATTTACCTGCGATTGCTTCACTTCACCCTGGTGTTAATGGGTACCTGCGAGGGTGGTATAATTCCGTTGCGCCAAAGTGTCGGCTGCACTAAGCGGAGTTAAAAGACTCCCTAGGGAGATTGATAGATAGATACCAGTAGCCCGATGACCAGGGGTAATAGCTGTAATGTCGGTGAACGTGCATAAGCATGAAACTTAGACTATAAAATGCAATTACTTTACTTTTACTGGTAAGTGCAAATTACCGTCAACGTCCCCTTGCACCGGCTTAAGCAGTATATAACATTTTAACATGAACTGGTAAAGTTTGAAACATCCGCATATGTGTTCATATGGTGGTTATCATGGAACCTTTAATGTGACACGTAAGTACCATTCCATGAAAAGCGGCATATTACAATAAACTTATAATAACATAAATAACAGACTACTTGTTAACTATATATAACTTTCAAACACCATAATTATGTGTAAATATGTGCAATTACATTTTTAGTTTCCGGTTTCTTCTAGTATAACGCAGTCTGCGTGATAAAGGACTGCTGATAAAGGACTGCTAAGGAAGGACCTTACAATCCTCACAAGGAAATGATGGGAGATGCATTGGTACAAATGTTATGGAGGGCACCCTTATAACCTTGTTATTTGTAAAATATTCCGTTAACGCAACAAGATCACCTCGAGCAAACAGGACGTTTCGCCCCTAACCAAATCGGCCCTTAACAACTGCTAGTTTCAAAAATGCGTAAAATCTTGGTATAATGAGTAATGGGTGTATTAATTTGCTATCCAAAGAAAAATATAGTCAATTTTTGTAAAATGTTTTAGTATCATTTAAA